ATTCATGCATGTAGTGAAGCGAATTGGGCAAAAAATGTAACTGATAGACGGAGTACTACAGGTTACTGTGTTAGCCTAAATAAAAATGGTTCATCGGTCTCATAGAAGACCAAAAGACAGCCTACGGATGCACTGTCAACTGGTGAAGCAGAGTGTATGGCTTTAGCTGCAACTGTACAGGAATGTTTCTTTCTACAGCAATTGTTAGAACACATTGATGGCCTGCAGTTGTCTTACTTTCTGCTGCTTTGCATTTTTTGCTCAAAGGGAATGGGTCAACAATATTAGATTCATAATACTCAGTTATGTCACTTTTATGAAGGGGTGGACTTTCAGTCAGTTCCGCCCAGTTAAACTATTTGTAAATATTTAACATGGACAACAACCTCTCATTACTTGATCCTTTTCCTCAACAGAACCTGCAGGACCTCTCTCTACAATGGACTCATTCATTATCGCTATAGACTTTGGAACAGCATTCACTAGCTATGCGTTTAGTATAACATCCAGTCAAGAAGAGATAGAACCCTATCTGAAACATTGGGGTCAAGAAGTTGGACTAGAAACCTCAGACACTCCTACCTGTATCCTGTTTGACGAACAACAACGGTTTGTCAGCTTTGGATATAAAGCCAGACAAACCTTTTATAAGTGGATTAGAGATTCTAGATTGTTTTTCTTTGACTTCTCTGAGATTTCTCTGGATGACAAAGTGAGTAAAAATACTTTTCAAAAATAAAAACTTTTTATATGTTTAAGCTAATTTAAACCAACTATATTTTACAGATTATAGGGCTAGTAAGATGTTAAAAGTTTTATGTTATTACCACCAAATTGTATAGATATTCTTACACAAATGTATGCTCTATTTATATTTGTCTTGTTTTTTGTATTGCAAGCTTATATATATCAGTTTATTTTGTTGTAGTTTATTTTATTTCAATTTTCGAATTTTAAAATAACTTTCTTGCTGAGATACAGTGTTACAACTACAGTATTGATGAACACAATGATTTATTTACTATCATGTTAGAAATTCTGACTTTGGTTCAATAATTAAACTCTGTTGTGATTCTCATTTAATTTGTATTTGGCCTTTTTTCACATGTCAGAAAAAGGTTAGCTGAAATATTTTAAAAATGTAAACAATTTGTTTTTTAAAATATTTAGAAATTGGTGAATTTATTTTTTTCTTGATACTTTGACATGATTGAACTAATAAACTTGTTAATCATCTTTAGAAATTCACCAGAGACCTGACAATTAAAGCAGCCAATGGGAGGGAAATGAAGGCTCTGGATGTTTTTGCAGAGGCTCTGAGATTCCTGAAAGATGATGCTCTGAAATTCAGTAGCATCAACACTGAAGGTAGAAGGTTCACAGCCGATGACTTCACCTGGGTGTTGACTGTTCCTGACAACTGGGATGATTCAGCTGAACAGTTCATGAGAGAAGCAGCATCTCAGGTAACATCATGTTAAAAAGTAAAATTTACATTAAATGGTTAAATATGTTTTTCAAAACTTTCTCTCAATCACTGATTCCAATAACATATCTGCCCAAAAGCTGCAGATACAGACTGATAAGAAGAAGGGAGGAAAAAAACTATATAAGTGTATATATTCATTCTCTTTAGGCAGGTATCGTCACAGGCATAGAGAACCTGGTCACTGCATTGCGTTCAGAAGCAGCTTTATTCTGGTGTATGAAGCTTCCAGGTGACGGTTTCATCACAGAGAGCATAGAACAGTGTAGAATGGATCGATCTCCAGGAACACAATACGTTGTTGTTGTTTGTGAAGGTATTTAGTTTTTTCACTCTTTTCAAAACATTTATTTTTCCTTTTTACATTAAATGTTTTGCCATCAAATCTGAACATTCTTTAATTAATAAGAAAAATTTCCCAAGATGAATGATTACCTATAGGTTATATAATTAGAGCAAAGATACTCCAAATGTTTACAGACAAAAGATATTTGAACTTCTCCCAGTAACAGCTGTAATGTTAAAGTTATCTTGTGTCGATTACTTTGTGTGTTACAGATATCGTCCACATCTCTGTATATGAAGTCCTGGAAGGAGGAGAATTGAAAGAGCTGCAAAGAGCTTCTTATAAAGACCTGAGGAAAAAAACTGTGGAGAGAAACTTTATAGAGTTCATGAGGCAAATATTCTCTGATGGAATCTGGGATGAATATGAAAGAAAGTATCCCAGTGAGATTCAGAGAATTCTTTATGATTTAAATTATTTTATTAAAAGATCGAAAGTTATAGACATCATTTGTCCATTTAATCTGGGCATGCTGGCTCAAGAGCGACAGGACATAAAGAAGTTCTTTGAAACAGTAGAAGGAGCATCCTGGGATGAAGGAGATATCAGAATCTCTAAACAGAAACTGAGGTATTTTTATGCCCATAGCCTGCAGGGCATCACTCACAATCTGAGAGAAATCTTAAACAAAGATTTCAACATTAGTGGCATTTTGTTAGTGGGAAAATACGCTGACAGTGAAATTTTAAGGAACCACATTATAGAAGAATTTATAGATGTTTGTAAAGTTCTGTGTCCATCTAGGCCCCTGGAAGCATTCATGAAGGGAGCTGTAGAGATGGGGGTATACGGGGGAAGGATCTCTTGTCTCAGAAGTGCCTATACTTATGGAATTGGTGTCTCTGAAAGGTTTGATGAGTTAAAGCACAGGGAAGACAGGACATTTACCAACAAAGATGGTAAATGGTTTGGAGGCCTTTTCATCAAACTAGGCAGAGTTGGTGAACAAGTTAGCAAG